AATGCAGATATGCATATCAGAATATTCAATTTTATATATTTGTTTGGAAGCATAATTTTTTTTAACTATACCTACCTATATGGAAAATTACAATAATAGTTGTATTTTAAAATATTGAAATTAATGTTTTTAGAATATTAAAAATATTAGTATGTTATTTCACATGTCTATTAAAGATTGATTAAAAATACCAAATTATTATGAAAATGTAAATTGCACCATATAATTTAAAATATTAGATATATTATTTTTTTTAGCTTCAACTACATTGGTTATTAGTTATAATTACTGAGTTTTACCACATAAAATACTAAAATAGTAAATATATCAGACCACACCTCTTCAAATTAATACAATATAATGATCATTTTTCCTAGTAATACATTTTTATATTTAATCTTGAAACTATCTTTGCGTATAATTTAATGGATAGAGATCATATTCCAAGTACTCTAATTTAGAAAAACAAACAATATTATGTATTTTGAATCAATATCCACGCATGCAAACAAATAATTCAAAAGTACCTACTCAATTATTTATACAGGTATTTTATTTAAAAAATAAATATGTCACAAATAAATATATGTAAAAGCATACATATTTAATAAATAAAATAAAAAAACAATAGTCTGGTCAATAAATATTTAACCATAATAAATTAACTGTAATAATATTTTCCTTGCTTATATTGCACTAAAATATAATATTAAACTGCTACATATATACAACTATCATCATATCATGTTTAATATCTACGTCAAATCGTATATTGTATTTTTGTAATCGTTTATAATTTGATATGATTAAAAAATATTAGCATTTAAGATTTAAAAGAAAAATATTAATATATTTATCATGTTGATGTTCACCTATCACGAATACTGCAGCCACCTAAATATTATATTAATGTTTATTAGTATAGGTGCCTATAAAAGTACCTACCTACTTGAGGTTCGATTATTAAAATATATCATTCAGTGAACTTAAATCGAATAATAAGCGATTTCATCTTTCCATTTTAACAAAACCACTTAAGGCACTGCAAATAATTCGGTTGACTTGACGTATATTGGAAATTACTTAAATCGTTTTTGCCATCCCGAAGAAAAGAGTTCCTCTCAAATGGTAGGTTTTGTAGGGGTTATTCATCACATACAGTTATATAGTATATATCTACTATCTCTTAAAAATAAATCATGTAAAAGATAAATAAGCTGTAAATGATTATTTATTAAATATATAATATTTTAATACCAGTTCACGATTAAGATTTTGTATGATATTATAATACGAGTATGTATATTACGACTTATGAGCATCGTTTATAATTGGTGAGGATATCAAATAATACAATTTTGGAGATAAATATTATATTGTATGGCATACTCATATTAGTCATATTTACGTTTTAAAATGTGTTTCATTTAACACTCAGCCTTAATTGTTTTGCCATAAAACGTTAAATCTGAATATTAAACCATATTAATGTACTTACATAAGTATTAACTTAAATAACAAGATTCTAAACATTTTAACATTTTTTTTTCAATCCAATCTTCTCAAATCGTTTCGGAATTTCACAATATTTGCATGTTTGGACTACGTCTTTGTATAATTTATAACCGATTCAATACCCCAAACGACACTTCTGACGCACTTTCGCTAGCTCAGAGTATTTCCATAAAATAACATATACGTATAGTATAACTATATACACTTCCTCGTATACCCATAACTCAGTCGTTGTATTGAGATTCTAAAAGAACATTTATTTTGGACATCTTACTAAACACATTTTACTACATTTATACATCATCCTAAAATGTCTAGATAAAATACTTTAAAATTCTTATTTTTTTAAATGAGTCTAAATGTTTTATATTTAAAATAATAATTTATTAATTTTTAAAAACTACATTTGGAGAATTATTGGGTACTTCTATTTGAGCATTTGCTCTGTCTACTGATTGTCCTACAAATGCAAATAAATTATGATCATTTTCTATAAAAGTAAAAATGCGTTTGTTTCAGATGATTTAAAGTATACTAATATGAATCTTATTTATGAAATATACGTGTATTTATGCAGTAACTCATTGGTTATATTCAATGTATTTATTTAGCTTTTAACTAAAAAGCCTAAACTTTAAGCAAAATCACTTCATTAATCAGTATATACCTAATCAACAACTCAATATTTTATTTTTAATTGACATTTTGTATAGTGCGGAACCTAAGTTATATAATTATATTGTAATACATAGAAGATAGAACAAATGGGCAATAGCTAATAAAAATTGTAGTTAATCTTAAAATTCCTTTATAGAAATTTCTTGATCCTTGTAGATTCTCTTTTCCACCATATATTTGAATACTAGGTCAATTATATTACAAAATTTTATTTTTATTTCAATTCCTATGTACTTTTGTGCTGTTGCCTTATGGATAATAAAACGACAGGAATAACCGATTTTTATTTATTTGAAATACATTCACTCTTAAGTGAAAAAGTAATACTCAAACTCGTTTCAAAAGCTATAAAAGACGGATTTCCAATTTCCCAAACTTTACGATAAAATAAAATATAATGCTCGCGAATAGCATTTTTAATCGCCCCGACCATACGTGAAATGTGCTCATTTTATTCGTACATCCAAACTGTTCATGCGAACGTTACGACCAAAAACGAAAATGTTATTTGTATTCGTTACAAGATACGTTGCAACTATGTATGCATATTGGATTTGAGGCTACCGCGAATCGTATAGGACATAACGAGAGGGTTGAAAACGGAAAAGTCAGAGACGTTATAAAATTATTTTATTTTAATATTTATTTATGAATACATTAAGGACAATTTCTTTTGAAATTCAATAATAATATGTCTCCACGTATGGGATAAAACGACGGTACACTTTATCGATACTTTTTTCTTATATACATGTATATATTTTTATCACAGTTTTGGGAATTGGAAAATAATGTTTTACCATTATACAACCATAGGTCACGATGTTGCTGTACAGATATTTTTTTGATTGAAACCTCGACAACTAATAGAAATAAAAATACTGATTTTATCCCGAACGAATTCCGGAGAAGCGAATACGAATATAATAATATACAGTTTTTTATTGATATTGAAACTATACGACGGTTCACGGCAGTGACATTTTTCTACGCGTTGTGCATTGAATATAATTTCTGTCTAACATCCTTATCGAATATATTTTGACAAAAAGTACTGAACTACAAAATACTAAAATATACTATTCCACTCTAGGCATAGGCGTATAATACGATTTTAATTTATTGTAGTTTTGGTTCTCGTAAGTATAGGTGCAACTCGTGATTTATGATATGGAAGTATGCTGGTAATTGAAATATTTTCCGGACCCATTAAATATTAATGATAACATTAACATGATAACTCGTCGAATGCATTTTTCTTGTTTCAAAATATGTTTGCTTTGAATATATTCGTCCAAACTATGCAATCGGTATTTGGATTTTCTGCATTAGAACTGCGAAAAAATTATTTAAAAAATTCGTTTTATTCAATTTTAGTGACAATCGTGGTGATCTCTTACAATATACCTACTTGTAGTTATCCAGACAAAACCGTTTTCATACTACAGAAATACCTAAATATATTATGGAGCAAAAGGAGGAATTTTGCATGTTCAATTTAGTAACCGCTGTAATAATAAAATATGTTACATGAAAATATGTCTTTATATTATACCAGAATTGTATAAATTTATTTTCTTTACATTTAAATCCTGATTATTAAAATATATACCTAATTGCTATACTATTGATTTCAATAATTAACTCAGGCGTCGAAGGCGAGAGTGTTCTGTTACGCATATTACAAGATAACGTTTTTGACAATAATAGTAATACTGATAAAATGTAAGAACAATTGACAGATTTTATTGGGAAGAAATATGGATAGAGCCAATAATAATTGTTCAATATTTATAATAACGATTTAATTTATAATTGTTTTATTTTAATCGAAAGACGTTGTTGTTACTGCTCCAACTATAATTCACATTTTAGTATACTAAGGTGAAATTCCTAAAAATAATACAAACAAGTTTGGATAGCAAAAACTAATTACAAACATTTTTAAATTAAAATTGTTCCAATTAAAACAATTGTACAATCTTGAAGAAAAGTTTTAATAAAAACAATTATAATTATAAATTATAATGATCAGTTAATTTTTAAAATGCCATCTGAAAGGTAATTAGAAAAAAAGTTGTATAAGTCATGACAATTACAAATCTAATCGTATTTATAAATAATATGATACCTATATTAGAACAATGTTTTTCAATTTAGCCTTAGTCATTTTACATTAGTAATAGTGAGTATACTTTTTTAGAATTGACCATTGAGGTTCATTCAAAGAATTTATCCTACAAAAATGTTGTTGCCTGATAATCGTCAAGGCTAAAATGGCATATTATTTATTTTTTTTACATATTCGTTTTTATACAAATTCATGTTACGCATATTGCTCACATTATATATAGTCATATTGTATTGTAATTAATAAAGTTTCTAGACTGGGAATTGGAAGTTCTAAAGTAATCCACCTATTTAGTATGTATTTAGTACATTCACATATTTAATCTTGTTAGTTGGAAACTAAATATATTTAATAAGTAAGTATAGCCGTAGTTATCTTTCTACATAATCAATTAATCCAAATAATCAACTGTTTTGTTTTATAAAACAGTGAATGCAAACATGTTTTGTGGTCACCAAGAACATAATATAATATACATGGGCACGATAGGTAATCATCATTTATTTTAAAGGTAAAAACTCATTTGTTTATAGAGTATTGACGTTTTTGCAAGTATACATTTTTTCCCCCATAAATTAAAGATGTATATAAACAACATTTTTAATAGAAAAAAAGTAATAACCTGATTACATTATCCTTATTATTTTATTATAGTTTTTTCTGTGTTGAACATAGGCGTGCGCACGGGTGCAGCGAATGCTGCTTTCGCTGCACCTGACAATTTATTTTGGATTTAGTGGGCTGGTAGATATTTATTTGAAATGTATAATATTATACATGGAATGAATAATTTTAAACATATTGAGTTTATAAATAAAATATAAAATATGTTTAGTGTTATTCAAATGAAAAAAAAAATACTATATTATCAATACAAGTCTAAAAATAGATGGGTAATATTGGAGAAATTCGACGTACACACTAGATTACAAAAACAGACACAACAATAATAACAATAGCGCATTAACCATCCAACCAGTGTAGCGGCCAGCGATACGAAAACGCAATGAATGTCCATAATGACCATAATTAGTTATAAACTTATAATCAGATCACATATTCACATAATCTAATTGACTGTTATATTAAATTTGTAATTTAATAACGATATTTCGCTGTTACTGCAGTCTGCAGTCTTATTTCAAATTGGACCTCGTCTTAGTGTTCTGTTACTTGTTACTTAGTTATTTTAATTTTTCATATCATGTCGAGTAAACGACTCGGTGGTCAGGAAAAAGTTCGTGCAAAAAAAAAACTGTTACTGTTGAAGACTAGTGAAAAGTGCCACAAGATAAATGATTTTTTTTCAAATAAAAAAAAAACAGAAATAAAAGAATTAATAGCAGGTAAGTGATTAATATTAGCATTATAACAACAAGTAATTTTATAAAGTTGTATCTTTATGCACCTATAATCACAGATAAAATACACCACGCTTAAGCTATGATAATTTATTATATTCTTTATTTATATTTACCAAATTTTTCCTATTTCACCTTGTTGTAATACCATTTTAAGTCATTCCTATACCTACTTAACAATTTATTTTGTGAAAACTATTACCTATTTGAAATTTAAATGAATTTTCATGTTTTCTTAACAGATGATCAAAATACAAAAGTTTTGTCGCATGAAGGCTGTACACCATTAAACGTTTTATTTAATACACAACCTAGTGATTATGAAGACAATGATTTACTTCCATCGTCAGAGTTAGAGTTAAACAATTCTAAATGTACAGAGTTTTCTACAGGTAATATTTAAAGTTTTAATTTAATAGTAGGTATTTATATATATTATTATTTATAGTAGGTAAATAGGTAGTTAACTTTGTTATTAATTTTAATTCAGTTTCAATTTGGTACAGAGCCCCCACAAGGGGGGATTTGATGGGCCCGAAATTATATGTGGGGGCCCTGGTTTGGTAGGTAGTTAAAATTAAAATTTTGATTATTTTAATATATTTATTAAATCCTACTTAAGGTACCAAACTAGTATTCCATATTAAAAACTTATTTAATATTTATTTGTTAGATACTATTTAAAGTATACCTACTTAGTGACTAGTTTATAAAATACTTTATGCACCTATAATCTCAGATAAAATATACCACACTTAATCTATGATAATTCTATTCTTTATTTATATTTATTATAAGAATGCCAAATTTTTTCTATTTAACCTTGTTTGATAATACCATTTTAAGTCATTCCTATACCTACTTAACAATTTATTTTGTGAAAACTATTACCTATTTGAAATTTAAATGAATTTTCATGTTTTCTTAACAGATGATCAAAATACAAAAGTTTTGTCGCATGAAGGCTGTACACCATTAAACGTTTTATTTAATACACAACCTAGTGATTATGAAGACAATGATTTACTTCCATCGTCAGAGTTAGAGTTAAACAATTCTAAATGTACAGAGTTTTCTACAGGTAATATTTAAAGTTTTAATTTAATAGTAGGTATTTATATATATTATTATTTATAGTAGGTAAATAGGTAGTTAACTTTGTTATTAATTTTAATTCAGTTTCAATTTGGTACAGAGCCCCCACAAGGGGGGATTTGATGGGCCCGAAATTATATGTGGGGGCCCTGGTTTGGTAGGTAGTTAAAATTAAAATTTTGATTATTTTAATATATTTATTAAATCCTACTTAAGGTACCAAACTAGTATTCCATATTAAAAACTTATTTAATATTTATTTGTTAGATACTATTTAAAGTATACCTACTTAGTGACTAGTTTATAAAATACTTTATGCACCTATAATCTCAGATAAAATATACCACACTTAATCTATGATAATTCTATTCTTTATTTATATTTATTATAAGAATGCCAAATTTTTTCTATTTAACCTTGTTTGATAATACCATTTTAAGTCATTCCTATACCTACTTAACAATTTATTTTGTGAAAACTATTACCTATTTGAAATTTAAATGAATTTTCATGTTTTCTTAACAGATGATCAAAATACAAAAGTTTTGTCGCATGAAGGCTGTACACCATTAAACGTTTTATTTAATACACAACCTAGTGATTATGAAGACAATGATTTACTTCCATCGTCAGAGTTAGAGTTAAACAATTCTAAATGTACAGAGTTTTCTACAGGTAATATTTAAAGTTTTAATTTAATAGTAGGTATTTATATATATTATTATTTATAGTAGGTAAATAGGTAGTTAACTTTGTTATTAATTTTAATTCAGTTTCAATTTGGTACAGAGCCCCCACAAGGGGGGATTTGATGGGCCCGAAATTATATGTGGGGGCCCTGGTTTGGTAGGTAGTTAAAATTAAAATTTTGATTATTTTAATATATTTATTAAATCCTACTTAAGGTACCAAACTAGTATTCCATATTAAAAACTTATTTAATATTTATTTGTTAGATACTATTTAAAGTATACCTACTTAGTGACTAGTTTATAAAATACTTTATGCACCTATAATCTCAGATAAAATATACCACACTTAATCTATGATAATTCTATTCTTTATTTATATTTATTATAAGAATGCCAAATTTTTTCTATTTAACCTTGTTTGATAATACCATTTTAAGTCATTCCTATACCTACTTAACAATTTATTTTGTGAAAACTATTACCTATTTGAAATTTAAATGAATTTTCATGTTTTCTTAACAGATGATCAAAATACAAAAGTTTTGTCGCATGAAGGCTGTACACCATTAAACGTTTTATTTAATACACAACCTAGTGATTATGAAGACAATGATTTACTTCCATCGTCAGAGTTAGAGTTAAACAATTCTAAATGTACAGAGTTTTCTACAGGTAATATTTAAAGTTTTAATTTAATAGTAGGTATTTATATATATTATTATTTATAGTAGGTAAATAGGTAGTTAACTTTGTTATTAATTTTAATTCAGTTTCAATTTGGTACAGAGCCCCCACAAGGGGGGATTTGATGGGCCCGAAATTATATGTGGGGGCCCTGGTTTGGTAGGTAGTTAAAATTAAAATTTTGATTATTTTAATATATTTATTAAATCCTACTTAAGGTACCAAACTAGTATTCCATATTAAAAACTTATTTAATATTTATTTGTTAGATACTATTTAAAGTATACCTACTTAGTGACTAGTTTATAAAATACTTTATGCACCTATAATCTCAGATAAAATATACCACACTTAATCTATGATAATTCTATTCTTTATTTATATTTATTATAAGAATGCCAAATTTTTTCTATTTAACCTTGTTTGATAATACCATTTTAAGTCATTCCTATACCTACTTAACAATTTATTTTGTGAAAACTATTACCTATTTGAAATTTAAATGAATTTTCATGTTTTCTTAACAGATGATCAAAATACAAAAGTTTTGTCGCATGAAGGCTGTACACCATCAAACGTTTTATTTAATACACAAACTAGTGATTATGAAGACAATGATTTACTTCCATCGTCAGAGTTAGAGTTAGAGTTAAACAGTTCTGAATGTATAGATGCAGGTAATAAATTAAACATAATATTGATAAATTATGTATGAAAACTAAATATACTAATAATATATATGTTTTTATTTTTTAGCTGAAAGTATTGAATCATGTTCTTTATCATTGATAAAGAATAAGATATTGATACATGTAGATGATCCAATAAACCCTCTTTCATCTAATCGACTTGAATTTAATGAACGTATAGGCAAAGGTCCTTATCGTCCAATTTTAGAAATATTTCCAAGGCAAAAACAAGGTAGTTGTATGCGTTCATTTCAGAAATCATGGTATGATTTATATGATTGGCTTGAATATAGTCCAGCAGCTGATGCTGCATTTTGTTTTCCATGCCGCTGTTTCAGTGGAAATGAAAACAATTCTTCGCAATTGGAATTAACTTTTTCCACAACTGGTTTTAAAGGCTGGTACCGAGCACTTCATATGTTTAAGAGACATAATTTATCTAAAGCACATATTAATAGTACAAAATCTCTGGTTCATTTTAAAAATTCTAAGTCAATTGATGAAATAATTGATATCAATAAAACAGTATGTCTTAAAACAAGGGAGGCTGAACGTTTGAAAAACAGAAAATTAATGGAAAGATTAGTTGATATAACTATTTGTCTTGCCAAAGGTGGGCGGCCATTCCGTGGTCATGATGAAAGTATTAATAGTCATCAAAAAGGTTTATTCAGAGAGTTTATCCAAGTATTAAGTAAATATGATGTTGTTTTAAAAGATCACATTGATTTTGGACCAAAAAACGCTCAATACACTAGTAACAGGATTCAAAACGATATTATTTTTTCAATTCATAATGTTCTTAAAAAAAAAATTTATAACTCATTAAATCAATCATATATTTCAATAATTGCTGATGAAACATCTGATGTTGGACATCACGAGCAATTATCAATTGTAATAAGACATTTTAATTCTATGACTAATCGACCTGTTGAAACATTTTTGGTACTAAAACGTATGATATCAGTTAATGCAGATTCTATTTTTCAAGCAATAACTGATGTTCTCAAAGATCAAATAAAATTAGAATGGAGTTCAGTTGTTTCTGTGTGTTTTGATGGGGCGGCAACAATGGCTGGTAGTATTTCTGGTGTTCAGGCAAAATGTAAGGAAGAAAATAGTAAAATTTTGTATGTACACTGTTATGCGCATTGCTTAAATTTATCTCTAATTGACTCTATTTGTGACAAATCTAGCAATAAAAATCCTAACCAAAATCGAGTTTTATTTGATTTTCTTGGAACCGTTCAATTTGTTTACTCTTTTATTGAAGGGAGTCCCATGCGTCATGCTATATTTGAAAAAATAGCTAAAGAAAATGGTGCTCACGTGCAAACATTAAAATCTTGTTCCGTTACCAGATGGGCTTGCCGTGCAGAAGCCGTAAATGCAATAAAAAATAATTATGGTGCAATACTTCAAGCATTAAAAACAATCAATTTAAATTGTTCAATTCCTGAAATGCGGGCAAAAGGCCAAGGTCTTTTACATCAACTTCAAACTTTTAATTTCATATTTTGTCTAAATATGATGCAAGTTATCTTACAGCTAGTTTTGAAAGTAAGTTCTGCCTTACAAACACCAAATTTAGAATTGTTAACTGCAGTTATGATAATTAAAACACTCAAGCAGTCATTGATTTCATTACGGAATGACTCTCAACATTTTAAATCAATGTTTGAAAATACAAAAAAAATGTGCTATGAAATGGATATTGAAATACCTGAAGTAAAAACAAGAAAAATTTCTAAAAAACTAGAAGATAAATCTGAAACACAACATATATTTAAAAATAAATATGATGAAATGAGAATTTTGGTATTTTATTCAAATTTGGATGTACTTCTTAATGGATTAGAAGAAAGATTCAAACAAGATACATTGGATGTAATCAATGCTATTGGTCTATTAGTCAACCTAGATGATGAAAGTGAAACTTCAACATATAAAATATTATACACATATTTTTCAATTTCTGCTGATGATTTATGTTGTGAAGTTAATCTTTTGAGATCTACTGAAGATACACCAAAAGGTACCAACTCAGGTTCTGTACACAAATGGCTCGATTGGTTAAAACAGTATGGTAGACATGACATTTTTAAAAATTTTTTTCACTGTCTTAAAATGTTTGTGACAATTCCAGTGACTAGTTGTAGCTGTGAACGTAGTTTTTCAAAACTCAGCATTGTAAAAAACAAATTGAGAAATACTATGTCACAAGAAAGATTGGATGCGCTTCTATTTTTGTTTGTAGAACAAGAACTTTTAACTGGTATTGACTTAAATGATGTAATTGATGAATTTAAACATTTGCTTCCTAGTAATCGCAGACTTATATTGTAAATTGTTAAATATATTTATAAAAGTATAGAATAATATATTAAATTACATAAAAATATTATTAATATTATTTTTTATTTACAATTTATTATATTTATTATTATCATAATAGGCATTGTCATAGAGTGATGAATTTATATGGATGGTGGGAGGGTATACCTTATAATGATTCAGGTACACAAGTGATAATAATATGAACGTATTAAGTATTACATTTTTACACTATGGGGCTAACAGAATTCAGGGGGGGATATATTAAGGAAATAAGTGGGCTGCTTATTGTTCATTAGGGCCGGTTAAAATGTATGCTGCACCCGATACAAAACCCTGCGCACGCCTATGGTGTTGAATACTTCTTTAAATACCTACATTCTATCTCATATTCCAAAACCGAATATATTTCTTAGAAGATAATATATAAAATTATAAAAATTGAATTCAAACGAGTATAGTTAATTCAATACGTTAGGAAATATTGAAATCTTAAAGTGAAAAAAGTGAATGTGAGTGACTGAGCTGCATAATGGAGGTATCCCACCGTTCGTCTGATATTCCGCTCATCATTAAATATTTATCATAAGTATTTAACTATTCGTTAGAAATTCAATTATGCTATACTTACCTAATATAAATTCGTAGAAAAATATTCTGCTTTTAACTATGGCTTAAGAAATAAAAATGTAAGTTTTTTATGCAGTCTCAATCACAGTAAAAAAAAAAAAATTGACAAATTTTAATATACTTTATTTTACAGTGAATTTAAATTGTGTGAAAAAAATTAAAAAACTTAATAATTAATATATGTGTTAACTATATCATGATTCATAAGTCTTTTTTTGACCTGAAAAAGAGCTTTTTTAGAATAATACCTTCAGTTTGTTTGTGAAAACTTTTGAAGTACCTACTATACGCATATATATATGTAGGTATGTAATTTATGATGAATTCGCAAGAATGATAAACTAAGTAAAGGCCTAGGCATATTAGTTTTGGAAAAAAGGAAATGATGTATTAATACAAAATATAAAATATACATAGAGCGGTTAGGTAGCTATAATAAATTCTAATTATTAAATTTTATTTTTGTTCTTATTTATTGTGCATTATAGAAAAAATCGAAGATCATAAATTTGGTAAGTTGACATTTTCATTAAATACTTTTATAGCTAACGGTTGACCTATAAATGTAATTTAAATGTTATACATAATATAATATAAGACGATAGTATACTGCAATATCAACTCATCTTGTATTGATATATATAAAAAGTATCGTATTCTATTTAACTACGAAACAGATAAAGTAATGCCTAAATTATTATAATAATTATCATTTGTGATTAAAGGGCACTAGTTTGTCTAACTAGAGATGTTTTAAATATCATGATAAATAACTTATAAATCGCTGTATCACAATTTTGTTACATGCAATTATGTTCAATAGAAAACTGATGGTTTATGATTCATCAAACGCGGGATGATTTACCACTATAACTTAGAAATTAGAGGTAATAAATAATAATAGCATGGCAACAAATTTAGTTACTTACTACTTAGTTAATTGAACCTAAAATCTACAGAGTAACTAAGTTTGTGGACAAACTATGAATATTAATATCGTATAGGTACAGTATTAGATTTTAACATTATATTTACGATTTACCATACTATTAGAAAAGTCAACGTTTGTCAATGGAATTATTTGAGAATATAACTTAGTATCTTCAGAACGGGGTGGGTAAATCGAAATAATCATCATCAACGTTATAGAATATTATACGTATGACAGTCGACAGATGTTCAAGTTATCATCGGAGAACAAATAAAAATTCATAAGAGTATATAAGACGTATTGCAAAGTGGCTACGGATAACAGATAATCAAAAAAATGATACTAAAATGAAATGTTGGAATTGATTATTATATTATATGGGCATGAATAGTTTCTATTACCTAAATATAAATATTTAGATCGGTCGGGATGCGAACTGCTATGAGCATGTATAATCTCAATTTGAATTTGAAAAGAGGAATCCCAGAAATACTTAAAAAGTAATAAATAATTCAAAAAAAAAATGAAAAGATGAAACACAAGCCCCGGATGTATTTAAATTTTAAACTTTAAGGCAATGATAAATCATACCGCATTTGTAAAATGATTCTGACTTTCTGAGCTGAGGTCGATTTACCAAAAATGGTTAATATTTTGTTGAAAGCGGGTGCTCACAAAGTCACAACTTATATTATTTTTCACAAAATTAGAATATTAAAATATGTTATTTTGTTATTTTTGGTCAAAAACATACTTTGAAATGTTCATTTGATTTTAACTATTTACAATTTACATATTTTTTTACAAGCAATATTTTAATGTAAATTACCTATTGTATTTTGAAAAACTAAAATCTTAACTTCATCATGCAAAATTGATAGTTGATATCAATTAATTTGAATTGTTTGTATACGATACAGATATGCATTGTTAAATCCCTCTGAAACTGTTGTCCATCTAAACGATCAATTCAACAATTATTTTTACTTTGTTTTATATTTTTGATCAACATTTTAACTTTAAATATTAAAAATGTTTTTATTTCATAAATTCATAAATTTATAATATCTATTTACTCAGACAATACCTTTTTATTCTGTTGCCTTTAGGGCTTTACCCTTTACCCATACATGAATCATGGATACTCTAATACTAATGAATACTTACGAAATTGTTTTTAAAAATAAATATTTAAATTTCTATCCAACTGAACTTAAACTTATAAGGAAATACTAAATATTTAAAACAAAGAAAACGTTGCATCAGACAACGGGCGTGTTTTTTATATCATATTATATGTACCTACTTTAAAGTATAAATATACGTTCTTTAAGTTATTAATTTTTCAGAAAATGGCGTTGCTGTACATTTATGTGTCTAACATATTATAGGCATCTCTTCACTGCATAGAGTGATTATTTCAGTATGAGCAATTCTGTTTTAAGAAATTTAAGATAACATATTTTTCGAAATGGGACATTTCGCCGTAGCCGTTTCGACGTGGTCATTAAATATTTTCATCGTTATAATAATAATACATTTATAATATATTCGTCAAATTCATAATTAAAAATATAATAATAATAGGTAAAAATTAATAAGAATAATACATTATTTATACTATATTTCTATACTATATTATCTTATATTTTTATACTATAATAAAGGTAAGCAGTAATCATGGTAGTGAGATATTATATGCTATGCCTTTTAAATATGAAATGTAGTCTCTACTCTCTACTATCATATTGTTGTACTATTTTCAAAATACGTTTATCTAGATCAGCAAATGTTTTTAATTTTTTAGGTCGACTTTTCCTGCAGTTAACTGAGAATAAAAATAATCATAGCCAGATTGAACTTTTTTCAAACAATTAATAAAAGCCCAGATTGACGGATGGCATACTCCCATTTCGACATTAAGTCGTCTATTCGCAGCTTCTGCGTGGTTATTAGTCCTATCTTGGGAATTTAAAACTCTATTATAAAGATTCCAAATATCAGGTGAAAAACGTGCGTGCCGTCTACCTCTACCATTTCTATTTACCCTTCCAATATAGTTGTCTTCAAACCATTCTAATAAAGTATGAAACTCTTCACTAAGGTACTCGGCCAACGCGTCAACAGCAGCATCAAGATTTTTCGATCGATCGTCATCGAAGGTCATGGGCGATGTGTAGACATTTTAAGATAAGATAAGATAAATACGAAAAATCCAATAATATCAATAATAATATAACATATATTATAACATTATACATGGTGAATTCATAGTTAATTTTATGTTTATACAACGGACTAAGATATACTAAGATATATCTTAGTCCGTGGTTTATACACAATTTTTCGACCACGGTGAAATGTCCCTACGGCGAAATGGCCACGGCGAATTGTCCTAGATCCCATATTTTTATATATTACTCTTATTTTTATCATATATTTTTAACTTTTTATTTTAAAATTATAGCCACCAATATTTTTAATTTAATAAATAATCTTACTAAAAATAATCATATTTTCTTCCTTTTTTTAACATAAATATGTTTTTGTGCCAGATACGTGTTTTTTGTTTCTGATCGATTTTTCGTAAAATTTTCGTTGTCATAGTTACATACTAACAAAAACGTATTTATGATTCATAGATTCTCCTTGTAGAGAAAAAATATTGTGTGGCCTGTTATGATTCTTATATTCCGAGAGTAGAGAATGAATGTATTGTATTTACAAGGATGTGTTTTTTCTATGTGTCATCGAAATATGTGGTAGTAAAAATGTTCCAAATTTGGATATCAGCATCTGTTCTGATAGAAAAGTGAATCTAGTTAGTACTTTTATAATTTAGACTTAAAATATTATTCCTCATCGCAAAACTACCAAACAAGTCTAAAACAGTCTGTAAATCTGAATGTACCTGTAGCTTATAAAAAATGTGGTAGGAAAATGGTTATACATAATGTTGGTATTCGTCTTGGTATTATGCTTAATATTAATTTAACATTATACAGTGATAAGTACTTTTATAAAAAGTATTTAAAAGATCTAAATCTAAATAATATTGAGTTATGAATCCACAAAAAACTTGAAATTGTAATTTATTTTCTAATGTTTAATCTATATAAATATTGTATTGCTATTTATTATGTTAAACTGTGTTGTATATCGAACTTGCTGCACCACCACAAGCTACGCTTTTGGGTCGGCATCATAAGATGTATCTACTTTTAGTTTTTGTTGAGTCTTCATGTAAACATATATTTTGACAAATCAACAATATATTATTATCATTACTTTTGAGTATTAAATGTTGATGTTGGAAATACAAATTCGGATGATCAAAAACCTTGTGAAATGTTCACTGTAGAAATAATCACTCTGCGGTATGCGTCAGCAGTATGCTGGACTGTGTAATATACTATGATGTATACACCGGCGTCCAAAGATTGGAAAGTGGAAATGAAATTCTAAGAAGTAGGATACTTTAAAGCTTCTGTAATGAATAGTTTTGGATATCTGTCGGTATTGAAGCGTGTTTTATAAAGAGCAATATCGGCATTTCCCTTGTGGCCCAAGTGGTTTAAACGTTGACGGTCCCTAATCATTAATCACAAAAAAGGATGACCCACCACGCCTTTGTCGTGTTCTGACATGCAACGCCTAAACTAATTTACTTGTCCGGGCCCCGAGTAGTGAAAACATAAGATAAAAAAAAATAATACATATGGAATATACGGAATAACAAAAATAATAATAATAAAAACAAAACGAAATTACTGTCTGAAACAACGCAACTAAAAAAAAAAAAGAAAAAAAAATTAAAAATCGAAATTTATTGCGTTATGGGATGTGACCTCTATAGACGTTTGTCGGGAGTGAACTAGTGTGGAAAATGTTGAACTAACATAATATACTATATGGCCATTCGTGTCCAGGATCATGAATATTACAAATAGAGTAATGCGATTATTCGTGGTGAATGAATATGAATATAAATTGTTATTAATAATCGCGTCCACAGGGAGAAAATATATTAGGAACTCGTATAATAATATCTGCAGTGCAAAACATAATACGTGTTTGTTATAGTTTTAAATTAAATTAGGGATTTAATATCTTATTAGTGTTTGAAGTCTGAAATATGTCACAAATACGTTGATGATATTAACGCATTGAGTGTTGTGGTCGACATGTCAGTGATAATACTACATTATGGCCTTTTTTTATTCATAGCGAAACATCGTTTTTTTTCAGGAATCGGCTCATCTTCGACAACGATGGAATATAATGATGATATTATGTATGTAACTAAATATATTACATAAACAAAATAACTATGTATGCATAAATACAAATCTAAAATAATATAACAAACATAATTTAATTGATCATGAGTAATACATAATGTTAATGTGAAAGTATATTTACAGATATTTAGAAATATCATCAAAACACTGGAATATGTATTGTAAAATGAATGAAACTAAATTGCATATCCAAATAAACGTCGTGCGATAATATAATGAAAACATCACTCCTGGTTTTCTTCGACAAATCACACATTTTGTTTTTAATCATTTTAGACCTTTTTCATACGCTTAATTAACATATTATTTCAAAGTGAAATATCGTAATACAAAAATCGTATCCATAATTATAACTTAAATTAAAATTCCACTGTATTAAGTTTTTACCATTAAGTTTTGTCAATTCACTCTAAAATAAAAATGTTTAGAACTGACCTAATATGCCGTATGCTCTTTGTCCACACATAGGTGTGTGTATATGTTTTTTTCATATTTTTTTTTCTGTAGTGTCAATTTTATAATTGTAGCTTCAAATGTATTACCATATTCGAGCCTCTAATTAAATTCGCATTCGTTTGCTAGAATACTTTTCATTTTTATTTTCAGTATTCATAATAATTAAAATAACATAATTATGATATGAATAGTATGAGAAAAAATAATCACAAAATATTAAAACTATAGAAAGGTAGAACAACTTAAAAGGAATCTTGTAATACATTTTCAAATCTTAGATATGAATAAAATGTTGTCAGAATTCTAACTTTAGACGCTCATTTGTTTTTTTTTTAAACTAGGTACTAATACTTATTTAAGTCTTATGAGAAATTTTATATTTAATTTTCAAGTTTTTTGACTTAATTTGTTGAGGTTTTTCTCGAGGCTAATGAAAATTACTGGAAATTATTTACTTTTGGCTAAAAATACCATTTGGAATCTGGATTCTAATGGAATAATTAAATTTGTGATAAAATATTGTAAGTCTTAAAACTAAGAAAAAAAAATATCTAACCAAATTAACAAATTTAAGAAAGTAGGAACTAATAATTATAAAAAGTACCCAGCATTGATTAAGTATAAAATATTGTATAATATAAATTATAAAATTTAAAGTTTAAATTCAAACTGTATATAAAAAATAAAAATGTATTTATACGTTTTGTCTTCAGATAATAAAAACCAAAAAAATATCACATTATAAAACCAGTATTGCAAAATATGTAACAAATCTTTCCTCAACTGACAAAACCATTAGTTTAATTTTTTTTTATTCAAGTAATAAGTGCTAATAAATAAAAATAAATTGTGAATAATAGAAAGTTACAAAATCAATAGGTACCCAATTGCTGTTCCAATAATCATTTTTCATTATATTTTAAATAGGATAATATACATAATCTGTAAATTAATTTTTTATCTACAAAAAGTGTATAAGCGGACTGTATAGCATGAATTAGCTGATAAAAATAATCCACCCAGCGGTGACACTTTTTTTACGTGTTATTAATTAGAGATTAATTTGGTTTTATCTGTTCTCTACACCATTGAGCTTATTATCCTGTTGGATTTCCGTGGATATTATTTAAGTTGAGATCTTTAACTAGGGAATTTAGGTAATTGGTTCAGTGGTGTCTATTATGTGTAGATCGGGGTGTCAAGGTTGATTGGAGACGTAGAAAGCTGCAATCATTATCAGATGGAGTGTAATTGATTGAAATGCTTGGATTATTCTTAAGTTTAATGTTCAGCTGCTCTCCATATTTGGATGCGGATAATCAACAAAAAAATAGCCTAAAACATAATTTCTAATTAAATGTTAGTGAATTAGTTACTATTAGAATGAATCGTTCATTAGCCGAATTTCGACCAAAAAGACCATTTTAAATGTAAAACTAACATTCAACCGACTCTAGAGTATTGCATTTTTTATTGCACGCACAGTTCGGTATCATTTTACTTGTATTAAGGGCAACATTTGTGCAAATATGTTCTTTTGTACAACTCTACTTGACAATACTTTTTAAATGAGATATTAATTTTTTCCATATTATGTATTTAGGCTTGTTAATTGGTACGGTTAAAAAAGGGCTTGTGTATCAATATAGTATAGATTATAGAATATCTGGTGTAACTTTTATTTTTCTAGACTCCTATTAATAATATTTTTATTTTTATGACAACTTTATTGGAGACGACTATTTTTTAAGGCATTATTACGTTCAGGACGAGTGCCGTGTCTAACATGGTCATAGTTTTTAAGTATTAGAGACGACGCTACTTTCATACATTGCCGTGTTTAAAACGGGCAATATTTTTTACGGCTATAAGACGAACACCGTATTATACAAGAAATCGTTTAAGTTTATCGATTTTTTATTTTTATTAAATAATAATATAAATTGTATTAAAAATATCGCAATACCAACAATTGTTTCGATATTTTTTTCGATTATATTATATTATAATCCAAAAATAATTATAATAAATATCAATTATATTGCTGACATAAAATACGATACGATAAAGTAATATCATCGGTCAACTTTTAGTTTTGAACATTGGAATTGTCGTAATCAGATGTATATTATACAGATATCGAAAATAAAAAATATAAAAATAAAATAAAATATTACAACTGTATTCAATATTTCAAACAAATAAAAATATAAATAAATATATTTTATTATAGATATTGATTATGATAGTATTATATGCTTTTGATTTCAGATAAGACGCACCCTGGATTTATTATTACTTATGTGCATTTGAATTTCTACGTCATGCTGATTAAGAAATCAAAAAAAAAAATTCAATAGAAATAAGGTAAAATTAATAAATTTACGTTAATATAATATTACAGATAATACTACAGCATATTTACTGAATACTGGCGGTTTTCGTGAAAACGAAGAATACAATATTACGGAGTCGGAAACATTATTTTTCGGTGAGCAATAAAAAACGTTTCAAATTATTCACTTTTGCATAACCATATCATAGTTGATAATCAATGGCGGGTAACACATAAACGTCAAACAATAACCAGCCCGTTGATATTTTGTACATCCGGACAATAATAGACTAAAAATGTCGTGCCCGCCGTTTGTTATTGTAATAATTGTTCGAAGCACACCACTTTCCGCGGTCCGTACGACCGTACACCAAGCGAATGCATAATAATATTCGAAATGTCTGCGGACATGCGGAGGACATGCCTGCCCGGCACCAGCAGCCCCAAGTCACAACAAGTCACAATGATTGTTCATAAATTTAGATTATAATATTAATTTTGTAAATCGTTGATTGGGCGGGACGGCCGGGCGGTGTGGCGGGCGTGTTGTGGCGACAATAACAACAGCGATAATATTATTATTATTATCACAGAACTGTGACTTGTTCTGTGTTATTGTTGCCACCACCGCATTACTTAAGAATAGTCATTAATCGTATAAATAAACGTTTATTCTCATAATAATAATATATTTTCGTGATTCGTCTACACTCTACGCCGCCTGTACAGCGTACAATTATTGTACAACACACTCTTCACTTTTCACTCTTCAGCCGCAGTCCAGTAAATGCTCCAGTTGTCACTTGTCAGTGTGCAGAGCAGTCGGCGGGCCACACGACCACTTACTGCATATACAAAATTCGTCCGACGCAGCAGATCTGAGCATAATATTGTCCTGTGTAAGTATTACAGTACCTAGTGATTTTTGTATTAAATGTATTTTATAAAGTCACCTATTCCTAACCGGTCATAAGTTCGAATACTCATTTTGTGCTATCTATATCTACGGATACTCTTGTACTTAGAATTTTAGAATTTTTTTCTAGTATTTTATTATCTGATGTACCTGCGAAAAGTACGAATTTACGTGATGCATTATGTCATTACTCATTAGTCATTACTCATTATGATACGAGTTGTAACGACGATCAGAAGTTTCAAGTTATACAATATAATAATATGATAATACCTACCTAATAATGAGATAGTAAATATTATACGTACAGATGATGATAATAATAATTATTAAATTAAATACATAATAATCTTAAGGTAAATCGTTTGATAATACGTTTTATGCCCTTGGCTTAAAAATTAGAGTGAAACGACCTATTATGAAACTCGATGGTAAGAACTTAACCTGTGTTTTGATGGAAGTTTTTTTACGATAGTTCATTTTTTAAATGAGTTATGAGCATTTTAAATGTACATTTATTATCAAAGCATACCTCACTTAAAAACTGAACTATCGTAAAAAAACTTCCAACAATACACAGATAAAGTTCTTACCATCAAGGTTCAAAATAGGTCGATTCACTCTAATTCTTAAGGTAACGGCATAAAACGTGAACTGCTGAGCTCAAATTTGGTATGTTACGCCTTTGTAATTTATGGGAATTAAATTATAATTTCCGGAATTTCCGATACCGGCCTTCCGGTATTATTATTTTAATATATTGACCATGGTCTAGGGCTTGCAAGTTGCAGCTATAATATTTAAAACCGTTGATTGGGAGGGCGTGTAGTGGTAACAAATTAACAATAACATAATTACGATATCATTATTATTATTACTACCACCAAAATAGTTATTAATCGTACACTATAATAGACAGCTAATGTCAACACTCTCCTCTCTTCAGTAGTCCATACTCTTGTACTGCAGTAGTTCAGTGCTAAAACTGACGTCTGACACAGCGACGCGATCGTTACTCGTCACTCGTCAGTCATCCACTAATCAGTATTCATCGTCTTCGTCGCGTCTTCCGTATAAACCAGTGGTCTCAAACACGCGGCCCGCGGGCCACATGCGGCCCGCAACCCCTTTTGATGTGGCCCGCAATAAATATTTATTTCTTCAAAAATTGTTTGATTTTTTTGTTTTATACATTCGTAATAGGAATTTCCCAAAATAATTTAATTCGATCATGATAAGCACAATGCGATAAAAATAATCTATTAAGATAAGTGTTATTATTTAACGTGTATTACGTGTAGGTACGGGTTCTTATTATACTCAGTTCGTGAATGTAGTTTGTGTGCGCTACTCGTTCAATAAAATGTCAAGTGTTAAACGTAAAATCGGTCAAGAAGGACGTATTTTTCAAGAAAAATGGGGCTATGCATATTTTTTTACCAGTTGTAATTCTGTTCCTATATGTTTAATATGTAAACAAAGTGTATCAGTCATCAAAGAGTATAACATTAAAAGACATTACGACACTAATCATGGTAAGATTTACGATAAATTTGTTGGAAAGTTACGTGAAGAAAAATTTGAAGAATTAAAAAAAAGTCTTTTACATCAAACAAAATTGTTTGATAATATAAGAAAAGAAAATATCGAATCAGTTAAATGTAGTTATATCATAGCAGAAAAAATTGCTCGTGCTTCAAAACCGTTTAGTGATGGCGAGTTCATTAAAGAGTGTATTGTTAGTGCGGTGGAAGTTATATGTCCCGAAAAAAAACAAGCATTTTTAAATATAAGTTTAAGTGGAAATACTATTGCTCAAAGAATTGAAGAAATGGCAAGTAATGTTAAACAACAATTACATGAAAAAAGTAAGAATTTTTTAAATTTTTCTATTGCTATTGATGAAAGTACCGATATTACAAATACAGCACAGTTGGCTATTTTTATCCGTGGAGTTTTTGATAATTTTGATGTAACAGAAGAGCTCTTAGATTTAATTCCTATGACTGACACTACAACAGGAAGTGATTTATATAATTGTGTGGAGAAATGTCTTAATGAATTAGAAGTAGATTGGAAAACATTTTCAAGTATAACTACTGATGGTGCTCCCGCAATGTTAGGTGTAAAAGCGGGATTGGTTTCTAGACTAAAATCAAAAGCCTTGACTTATGGTGTAGAATTGAAAAGTTTTCACTGCATCATTCACCAAGAATCCTTATGTTCGAAAAAATTGAAAATGGAACATGTTATGAATATAGTCATTAAAACTGTTAATTGGATTAGATCTCATGCATTGAATAATAGACAATTTAGTGCACTACTTGAGGAAATGGATGCTCAGTATGGTTGTTTGATATATCATAGTGAAGTGAGATGGCTTAGTCGTGGAGCAGTGCTACAAAGATTTTTCAATTTATTAAAAGAAATTAATTGTTTTATGATATCTAAAAATAAAATTGTTTCGGAACTGAATAATATTGATTGGATTAAAGATTTAGCTTTCCTTGTTGATATTACTACACACCTAAATGTTCTTAACGTACAATTACAAGGAAAAAATAAAGTTATCACAAATATGTGCGATTCGATTCAATCATTTACTATGAAACTTAAATTATGGGAAACTCAACTTGTATCAAATAATTTGGTACACTTTCCTACATTAAAACAGGTATCTACAGAAAATAATGATGGAAAAAAATTTATTTCACATATTTTATTACTAAAAGACGAATTTCAGTGTAGATTTGTAGATTTCCAAAAGTATAAAGACGATTTTTTACTTTTTAGTGAGCCATTTTCCATAAATGTTGAAAATGTAAGGGAAGATCTCCAACTAGAATTAATAGATTTGCAATGTAATACTAATTTAAAAACAAAATTTGAAACTGTTGGAATTCCTGAATTGTTTAAATACCTTGAAAACAATTATCCAAAACTGCAAAAACATTTTTGTTACATATTATCCATGTTTGGTAGCACGTATGTATGTGAACAATTATTTTCCCTCATGAAGTTGAATAAATCAAAAAGCCGCAATCAAATTTCCAATTTAAAATTGCAATCTGTTCTACATTTGGCATCCAGAAGTTCTTGTGCAAATATAGACAGTTTGGTACAAAATAAGAGATGTCAAGTATCAAGTGCAGCTCGAAAATAAAAAGAAACTATTATTACTACTAAACAAAAAATCAAGACACTGTACAATGTACATCTTTGTTAGAATTATAATCAATAAAATAATTACATCTTTCCTTAATTTATTTTGTTTATTTTAGATTTATTATTAAACTGAGTAAAAAAAAGTGTTTGGCCCGCAAACCTGTGAAGTAAATATATATGGCCCGTAGGTAATTTGAGTTTGAGACCCCTGGTATAAACCGTTGTCGGTTGTATTTTTTCAACTCCTCGACAGTCACGAGACACGTCAGATCTGTGCATATTTTTCTACGTGAGTATTACAACTATAGGTATAACGATTTTTTATTTAAAATGTATTTAAAATTAGGTACGCCTAATACTGCATGCTATATCTATGTCTTGTGTACCTAGATTTTCGGTTTTTTTTTTATTAAATTGGTAATATTAAATACAATGTGCGTGATATTGAAAGTTGTAGCGATGATTAGACCCTTCAAGTCATTCAATATGATGTAATGATAATAATAATACGATTATAAATTATACGTGAAAATTGGGATAGTGATAATAATTAGTAGGTGAATTATATAAATACACAATAATGTAAATAATAAACGGGTACTTCTCTGATGTACACTAATATTAAAATATACGCTATACACACTTGCAATCTACTCATGAATAATATTTTTAAATTACAACAAAATAATTTACATCATTATTCAACAATACATAGTTCTGTCCAAATTCAAATATAAAGTAATTATAAAAAAAAACTGTGCTTTTATATTTTTTTGGTTACAGAATTTACTACTTGTGGGCAACTTTGTTTTAAAGTTTTGATTCTTAGCTATAAAAGTTTTAAAAGTTTAACGTATTATAAATATTTAGCTACATAATAATTTTTACATTTTCAATTTGATAAATTTTATTAAAATTTGAACTTTCATCCTTATAAAACAAAATTGTACCAATATAATTTTAATATTTTTCAACTGATATTGTAATAATTTATCAGGAGACTTGTATTGCTTTTTGACTCAACAAATTTAAGCCACGTAATATCATATCACAATGTCATCACACACTGAAACTAATTTTAAGCTAATGTCAAACTATTAGTCCAGTCAGCAGTAAAAATTTTATTGACATTTATAGAAAAAAAAATGAAAAAATGAAAATGTACATAAACATCTTAAATCAAATCAAAATATTTTGAAAACTGTATGGTATAGAGGTTATGCAGATGAAACATTCAGTGAAATTTCATGTATCGGCAGTATTTTTTTAATAGTTACATCAAAATTGATTTTGTTGAAAACCGATATTCCTTAAAAATTCCTGTTTTTCCTTAATATTTGTTAGTGTTTCCTGCCAATTTTAAAAAATATTAGGAATATTTTACTTTTAACCCCATAAAGTACCAACTAGATTCACTTTCCTACCAGAAAAGATTCCGTTGAAGAAAATCGAAGCACGTTTACTGCCCCAAAATGTGATGACAGATAAAACAGAAGAAAAAACGTTTACCTGCATCTGGGACGCAATCGACAAACTCCGAAAAACACATTGTAAAATCAGTACATTCATCTCTCCGAAATCAAAATCATGATATAACATACTTACATACAAGCATTCAACAATTACGTATCGGGTTCCTACCTAAAATATTTTAAGTTAGACATCCATCTAGTGCAGGAAATAGCAAACGCCTCTTATGTAATATATAGCGCTAGTTGTAAGTCGTGGGTGTATGTATATATAGACGGATATCGGAATATGTGTTTAACGTGTATTTCGATGGATTTTATACACATTACACATAACAGTAGGTATAGC